TTTTATTTCTAAAAAGAGAAGTTTTATTAACAACAATTTCATTTAGATAAATAATTGGTGCATCAGCACGAAATTCAATTCAATGTGTATTTGCGTTTTGTGTAATTGTATAAGTGTCAAAAAAAATATTTTCTTCTAAAAATAACTATTTCCAACCTTTATAAATTTTTTTTATTCTTTTAACAAAATATAAAAGGGAAATCCCACCGCTGCCACCATTAATGTTATGTTTGAATTCGATTGTTTATAATTTAATTATTATTTATTTGAAAGATTTTATATTTTAATCGAATTCGGACTTAACTGTATTAAAAAGAATTTTTAATAGTCTTAAATCAATAAAACACTCAGTATTTTATAGTAAGAAATGAATGTTAAGTTTATTTCGAAAAAATACTGTTATTAAAAATTTAGGATCCCCTCTTTAAGTACGTTATCAGTTCAACGTCTCCGATTAGACGGTATTTAAGGTTTATGATAGAATATTAAAAGATGGGTGGAAATAGGTTGTAAGACACAAATAATTACTCTAAAATATTAATGACATAATCTAGGTTATTTTATTTAAAACATAAGAATAAAGTAGTAATAGCAAGAAAAATACAGTAATAGTTACAATAAAATTATCCCTTGAAAATAATGTATACATATATATATATATATATATTCAGTATTAAGAATTATTAAAATTGCCCCCTTTAAGAATACAGTAAACGATGTAAATTCTTTAACTTTCGTAACATGAACACTTTCATTAAACTAAGAAAATTACTATATTAACATTAATTTCACCTTGTGTGTGTGTATGTGTCATGAAAATTTATAAATGTGGAATTATTATATAGTTTACTCACCAATTGTAAATTGTAATTTACAATGAATTAATTTCTTTTTAGTACGAGAAAAATCCTTTTCTCTTTTTTATTATATAGGGCAATATCGACACTTATGGATAATATCCCGTTTTTAATTTCAATTATGCTCTTATCGATATTTTATACTTTTTACTCTTTATAAAAACGTAATTTCGTTTTCTTTGTTTTTTTAAAATTAAATTTTTACTCTCTGATTGGTCTAAATCTGAGACAATATTCAAAAATAATATTTGTAATGCTTAAAATTCGGGATCACCGTATTTAAACATTTATCTTATTTTCTGAATAAATTCCAGAATTTAAAGAGACTGAAAGTAAAAGGTCTTAGATCTCAAATACAAGGCTTGAATTTCATTATCTTGTATTTGATTTTTTTTAAATATATTATGACATTAACTGAACTTCACTTTGATATTTTAATTAAATCACTCAGAAAAACACTATAGCTTAGAGCTAAATAAATTTTACTTTCTTATTTTTCTCTTTTATTTTCAAATCACTCTTTTAAATATTCACTTTTTTAATATTTTACTTCTTTACTTGTTTTTTTTGTATATTTTGATATATTCTTTTTTATTTGATTCCTTTTCTTTAAATATTCTTGTTAAATAACAATATCAGATTTCTATAAATCTATCTTTTTAAGAAAACACTCACTTCAATATTTGAGGTTCAACCCTTGTTTTTGGGGATAAGAAAAATAATCTACTTCCGCCTTTTGCGGGAAAAGAAAAAATAAGGATATAGTAAACGTCCGCTCTGCGGGAAATACTCAATAAAAAAAATCAAACGTCCGCCTTGCGGGAAATGATTATTAAGACTCTCCGATTAATCCTAAAAGGAAATCGTTCACACCTTAGAATTTGACTCAATTTTGTAGGTGGGAGAAACTTATGCACACGGCCCGCCAATACTTTATTGTTGCTAAGGAAGCTTTTTGCAAGCTTGCAAATTCCTTGGTAAATGGCGTGATACAGTTCGTTGTTCTCTATTGGATTTTGCACGTGTGTATATGTATTCTCCTTTATTAGTAATTTTTTATAAGTACTTTAAAGAGTCTTGGTGTAAGTGGCTACTTTTGCAGAATTGACGAATTCCCGAGACGGTCGCTACATTTCCTTAAATGATTTCTTTTCATATTCTTTTTATCGAGACGATAATTTAGTAATTTTAAATACTAAAAGAAAATTTAAAATAACTATTTCTTTTTATGGATTTTCTCTATGGTTTGTAATAACAAATTGATGAGTAATATATCCTTATTAATAAAATCAGATGTCTGTCTGTACATTGCTTAAAACTTCAAAATGTTAACATGATTAGTTATTATGGACATCAGGGATTCCAAAAATATTCTTAAAAAATTTAATGTATGTACGTATGTATGTACGTATGTATGTACGTATGTCTGTCACAAAAACTTTGTACCCCAATCACACAAAAACATGTAAATCGATTTAAGTCCAACTTGGTAGGTTATTAGGTATTGACCCAAGGAAGGTTTATAAATTTACAGATTTAAAAAATATTAATTAGAACGGGAGATATTCAATTTCTTCAAAAAATTCAAAAAATCGCAAATTTCAAAATTTTTAATTTTTTCATGGATTGCTTTTAAAGTTTCTATACTTGAGTATCACATGTTATTTAGTCACATTTTAGCATAATTTTGCAAAAAATAAAGTCCTATAACTAATATGTAAGTATACAAATGTTTTCAAAAAATCAAAAATTTCAAAATTTTACATTTTTCATGGATAGCTTTTAATCTTTCTATATTTGAGTATTACATGTTATTCAGTCACATTTTAGAATAATTTTGCAAAAAATACTATCCTATAACTAAGATGTAAATATAAAAATATTTTCAAAAACTTCAAAAAATGGAAAATTTCCAAATTTCACATTTTTAATGGATAGCTTTTAAACTTTCTAAAATTCAATATTATATGTTATTTAGTCAGATTTTAGCATAATTTTGCAAAAAATACTATCCTATAAGTAAATATAAAAATATTTTCAATATCAAAAAATCGATACTAATTACTATGAAGTTTAATTCAGTAGTATTTTTGGAGTCTCTGATTATTATTTTGACGTAAAAATAGTGTAATTGAGAATTATTTATCAAATTAATCTAATATTTTCAAGAATTTCAGAAATATTGAAAATGCAAATTTTTTATGATTAAAATGATATTGCAGGATGTCAAGAAATTGTAAGTCACCTCTGATACAATACAAGCATATTATATGCCACTAGGCAAAAACTTATATGTTAAAACGTTTTTTTTATTTTAACTCTAGATTTAACTTTTAGAGATGTTTTGAGCAATGTAAAGACAAAAGTTAACACGGTGTCTATTTTATTTAACAAAATTTCCTGCTTTGTCCTTTTTCACGGTTTATCTTTTTTTTGTTAAATTTAAATTTACTTGATTTTATCCATAAATAAATCTACAAATGGCTATAAAAATTTACTTATTTTTATGAAAATACTCTTTCTTAAGTTCATATAAAATATAGATTATATTACTAGCTGTCGTACCCGTCTACGACAGTTTTTTGTTTCTACTAATACATTTAACAGGGTAACTACCAAATGGGGAAAACTGGAAAAAGCTGGGAATTTTCCAATCAAATTAAGAAAAAGTTTCATTATATTAATTCGCTTTTAAAAAATTGCTTTTTACTTTAATTTTTATTGATGTATAATATTTATGAAAACAGACCCGGGTCAAAATTTAAGCCCTACTTTCAGTCTAAAATATAGGTCTTATGTTAGGTTTTAGCAGTCGTAACCTTTGCGATACAATTAGTTCCAATTAGACTCTACTATAACTCCAAAAACTGGGTGGGAAATTTGATAAATTTTTAATGCATTAATTAAAGTACTACAAATTGACAAATATTGTTCTCTGCATTTGAATTGGTTAAAATAACTAATTTGATAATAAAAAGTCAATCACTGATTCAAATAGTAATATTTTCCTACTGAAATAGCTATAATGGTACCTAACTAATTATTATTTTTTTCCGGTCAAATTAAATTCCTGAGCTATTTCCTTATTTTCCAAATTGGTAGACACACTGTTAAATGTATTGGTAGAAACTAAAACCCGTCGAAGACGGGTACGACAGCTAGTAATATATATATATATATATATATATATATATATATATATATATATATATATATATATATATATATATATATATATATATATATATATATATATATATATATATATTAATCCTTAGCATTTATTTTATGCTTGTCTAGTGTAAGGTGTACTTAATTTTAATTAACAAGTTTACCCATTTTATATTCTATATAATCTTAATAAAATTTTTAAAAAATATTTTAAAAAAATTAAAATAGTTACGTTTCGAACGTAACACAAGGTGACATAACTAAGCTCAAAATAATAATTAGAGATAATTTAAGTGTAGAATTATTTCTTAATAAAAAACCATGTCCTTGGTTTAAATCGAAGAAGCCTTCAAGTTTTGAAGATGTTGGGCAAATTATTTACTTTGTAAATAAAATGCAAATTTAAACATGTGAATGAATTCATTGAATGATAATAACATTTTGTAAAAATATGATTATTATTTTATAAAATTGTACATATATTTTATTTCGAATTGATTAATTATTCAAGTTTTAAATTAATTTGAACTACTTTTTAATACACTTACATGTATTTCACGAATTTTTACAGATCATACCCAATTTACTTACATGTATTTACCTTATTTTATTTATTATAAAATATATTTATAGAAACAACTAATATTCAATGGATTTATACATTATCATAATAATAGTTTTTTTTAAATTTATATGTAATATGTAATTTTATGGAAAATGATAATAAATTCAAGTAAACAATTATTAATTGTGATTAAAACCAATATAATTTTTAAGATAAAAATAATCGTTTATATAATAGGATATTATAAAAACAACACTCCAAACAATCAATATTTAAACATCTTTATTGTTTAATATATTTATGTTTAATTGTCAAATTATAAACTTATATTTTTGATAATAAATAATATTAATATTTTTGAACTTAATAAACATTTTTTATAAACATTTTTTTATAAACATTTTTGGTATACTTAATTTGTTATTAAGGTTTGTAAATATCTTGTACCTAACTATTAAAGAAACTTACAGTTTGGCATCTTTATGACACTTTTTGGATTTTTCTTTGGTAGAATTATTAATCACATTATAACGTTTGGCTATGAAATGAGCTCTTGTTATAAGATAAAATGACACAATAGATTTTGTGAATTCTACTGTGTGGTTTTCACAACCAATTAATGGAAGTTTGTACTTTTCCAATTCTTGGGTAATATGAAAGAAAGTATCACAATTTAGCTGTCCTCCAGCTACAATACTTAAAATGACATTTTCTAACGTCTCTGTTAGATTGTATAAAATTTCAGATGGATATTTCAATCTCCCTTTGTTGCACAAGTTTATCATTTTAAATTTTGCATCATCCCGTTCATGATTGTCTGTAATTGTTGTAGACAAGCATTCATCACATTTAGTTAATCGTTGTGCTCGGAAAGCTACATAGCCAGCCACAAATCCTTGTACGAATTCTTCCGTTCTAGAAAGTCGCTCGTCGTGATCTCTCACTTTATCTAAGAAATTAGGAATTGATTCAATGGATGGGTCGTCATCCGAAATAATTCTCTCTAAAGTTGAACAAATGTTGCTGAATCGATTGTCATCAATATCTTTACATGTGAGAAGAGCATTTAAGATTTCACAACCCTCTACATTACTTCCTCGTTTTGGTTTTATGAGCGAGTATGTACTTAATAAGCGAAAGATTTGGGCAAACATCTTCGAGTCCGGATGATCGTTTCCACCACAAGCTTGCCTCACAAGACCAAAAAATCTCTAAATATGAAACCGAAAGTAATTTTCAGTCGAAAATGTAAAAATAAAATTGTGTTTTCAATAATAAAATGTTTTATTTACCTCAAGAGCATCTTGATTCCCACACAGCACATGATATTTCCTAAATATTTTCTGAATATTTCACTGAAAGATTGAAATATTTCAGTGCAAAGTTCTAGAAATATTTCTGCAAACAGGAAAATGTCCGCTTATGTGGGAATATTGACGCGAAAGTTGAGAAAATATTTCATTGAAATATTTTGGAAATATTCAACTGAAATGATGCGCACTGGTCGAACTCAGTTTCTATGGCCTGTAGAGCTGCGCAGTAGTTTTTGGCTTACTATATCCTATGGGTTTTAAAATATTTCAGAAAATTCCTATTGGTTTGAGGTGTTTAACAAATTTTTCCATTTTGTGAAATATTTTCACAATATTGCAGAATCTTTATGTGTAATATTGCAGGAATATTTCAATGAAATATTTTCTCAACTTTCGCGTCAATATTCCCACATAAGCGGACATTTTCCTGTTTGCAGAAATATTTCTAGAACTTTGCACTGAAATATTTCAATCTTTCAGTGAAATATTCAGGAAATATTTAGGAAATATCATGTGCTGTGTGGGTTCAATCTGCTAGTCATAAGATAACAAAGATCAAATTTCTCTTTCAAGGAAGCGAATATTTCAAGCGTTGATTTTAACATCACTTTAAGCCCAACAAATGTACTTTGACTTATAAAAGGTGCATTATGTGCTTTACTTAGTTTCCCAAGCATCCAAATATTCCACGAAATTCGAAATGTGCTATAAAAAACATTTTGTATTATTTTACAAATTTATAAAGGAACGTGTTTAAATATAAAATATTTTTTTATACTGAAATAATTTTTAATAAAATTTTTATCGAATTCCATGACAAATGTAATTATTCTAAAAAATTGTAATTTAAAAATTCTGTTGATAAAATTATTTATTAGTGTTCAATTTCAAGACATTTTCAATTATTCAATAAATTATCAAGTTTCATTATTTAATAAATTACTATGTTCTATAATAATATTCGATAATAAGTTATTGAATTTTAAATAAAGATTTGAATTTAAAATTTTTAAAATCTTAATGCATTAAAAAATACGTACATTATATTCATCAGAATTTTCTCGTATTGCATTTTGTGGAGATCGTGACATCATTGAATTGATTAATTTTGAAAATCTTTCACAGAAGTTTCGTGTGCTTTTATAATCTTTTAAATCAAGATGACAATCAGCATAGCAATCCATTGCTATGTAAACTGGTTCAGAAAACAACTATAAAATTTTTTAAGTATGATGTTATTGAAATATTTATAATACTAGTGAAATAAATTATTTATTTAATCTAAAATTTTAATAATTATTATTAAAATTAACTTACATAAAAAGCCATTGGTACATTCATCTTCTGATAGTATTTCGGGTCCAAGTGATCTGGAGTTAACTTAAACGCCACTTTCATATTATAAAATTTCGCTTTTTCACAATCCAGTACAGCCCTCCAATGTTTCTTTTTAATAATTCCATCAGTACTCTATAAATATATGTATTTTGTTATAAACTGAAATATTGCTAGAAGTGTTTTGAATAAGAAAGAATTACTTACCAACGTTTCTTCCCTTGAAACTAGTGAATTCCTAACATTTTTAACCAAATGTGGGAAGTCTGATAAAAACCAGAGCTGTTCTGTTTGACTTTTTGGATGATCACAAGAAAAATTAAAGGCATTTATTCCGAATTGAGTCCACATACCGCGATTCCATTGTGCTCCATCGCTGACAACTGCTTGCACGTGTATGCCACAAACATACAATAGATTGATGCATTCCATCACTAAATGGCTCAATATTTTGCCAGACGCACAACCTTTGCTTAAGAAACAAGCTAAAGATTGTACCCAGTTTCCTGCAAGTGGCTGGAACATGAGAACTAGGGCATGGTCTCCCAATTCGCGGCACTGGTTAACTGGTGTATGATCACCAAGGTCTGTGAATCCATTAAAACGAAAAGTCTTTTTTATCGAAAGATACATTTTCAGATAACTTCATTTCATCCAAAAGAAGAACAACTGTAAAGATAAATTTTTGTTATTAAAATTTTATTTGATAATAATATTTATATTTTTACCTCTCTTTTCCATAGGAGTGAAATCTGAACATTTTTCCTTCAGCGCGTTAAAAACGTTTAATTGAAAACCATATGCAGAATTCATTTTCGACAAATATTTATCTAGTGTTTGTAAACTTGGAATTATAAGAATTTTTCTTTCTCGGATATGTTTATATAAGCTCTTATTTTTTATTCTCATAAGTAAACATTCGTAAATCCACTTAATTTCATAGCGCCTTCCTCTTGGACCTTTAACTTTTGCAGCGTCGAAACATGCTTTGACAGCTTGTTGCTGCTCTAGTGGCAATTCAGCTATTTTTTGGTCCAGTATTACTTCCTTTATAGAGGAACACTTATTTTTTAATTGATTAACTTCCTGCCTTAACTTCGTGACCTAATAAAAATGAGAAACAACACAAATTTTCAAGTTACGTATTTTTTTTATGGTTTCTGGTATATAAAAATAAAATCAATATTTACTTTGGTTTTTAGTCGTTGAACTTTCTTTTTCAAATTTCGAATGTTGTCAAATTTCTGCTTTACGGTTTTCAACTGCTCTCGTTTCCTCCTCACAGCCTTGTTATCAATTAATTTTCTTCTTTTTTTGCGACATGGAATACAACGTTCACTTCGAGAATTCGCTTTCAAATAACCTTCACATTGCTCGAATCTGAAATATAAATTAGATAAAAAGAAAGCAGAAAGAAAATGATTTTTAATTTTTTAAAGCATTTTTACATTTTACCAACCTTGATGAATTTTCTAGACCCATACATATCTTTATATTATCTAATATTTTAATATTATCATTAACATCTTGTATGCATTCAATGTTTTTCTTTATTCCTGGTAGACTCCTTTGAATATCTTCAATGTATATCTGAAAAATACCAAGTCATTAGTATTGATTGAGCGAAAAGACATGAAATTTTTAGTCCTCTTCGAAATATTAAAATGTCTTTATTGCATACCTTAACAGACAAGTCTTCATCAATTATTACTTTTTTCGGGCTTTCACACATAGAATTCCATTTTCCTATAATAATTCTATCCCGGAAACCCATCGCTAAACGCCAACCTTTTGGTAGACCCGTTTGAAGTTGACGTTGTAATGCATTAAATGTGCAAGCTTCTTTTGTCCTCTCCTGTAAAAGTATATTATAATAGTTATATAAAAATTACATTTAAAATGAAATTTAATTATTTATTATTTATAAAATTTTAGTCACAATGTGACAAGATTTAGTTAAAATCTTTTCTTGCAATGGAATTCGTTTTAGGCTACGAGATTCATGCTTTACTATCAATTTTCCATAATTTTCAGGCTCGTTATTTCTTACTGCAGAAAATTTCTCCGAAAAAAATTTTATTTTTAATTTCTTCATAATATTAACATACGTAAATGTCAAATTTTAATTGCTATAAAACAACTTACACTTAGCGTGACACCAGTATTTTCATTTACAATAACGTTTTCAGTACAAGGTTAACAAAGGTCAGTAGAAAAACAATTTTTGGAAATTGAACAGCTATCACGATTTATCATCTGTAACAATATTAATAATGTTGAGTGATCAAAATAATATAAATTATTATGTTAAAATTCTTCTTACAGATTTACTATTAAGTATTTAAAAAATTAATGTTAATTAAAAATATTACTAGTCTGGAACGAAATATGACTGGTATAATTATTTTTTAGCAAAGGCACATTTACACAATCATTATCCTGTGAGCATAATTATAAAATAAAAATGTTAAGCATTTATTAGCAATTTAAAAAAACTTTCGTCAATTGTTTTTAATATACCTTTATCGGTACGGCACTTTTCTTTAAAGTTACTCGTAACTTTGGGATAATTTGGATTGTTCCGTCAGGCATCTTGTGTTGAAAAAAAGATTCAATATCTTCATTCCTGAAATGTGCCTCACATATCGTGTCGGAATCAGAAAATTCTATTCCTAAAACATCTTTCCACTTTTTCCTTAAAGCAGGATGCTACAATAGAAAATAAAAACAAAATTTAATTTACTTCCTAAATAATTTTACATTAAAATTATTTATATTTTATTTACCTTAGGTACTTTGAAGAAGCTCCGAGTTGTATTATTTTTTTTCATTTGCCTTGCACTAATATTGCACTTTGCGCATTTTCGATGCATAGTGGTTTTTCTCCTCTTCAGTAATTAAAATTTTTTGTTTCAATATTATTTTCTTAATTTCTTACTTCCATATAAAATTTTAATTAGTAAAAAAAATTAGCAAAAGTCAAAATTAAATTAACAATACATAATACCTTCTCATATTATGAAAATGTAAAAACTAATAATTAACAGTAAAAATATTGCAAAATGAAATCTAATAATATTTCACTTATATAAAAACATAACCTTGAAATAATTTCAGTTACAATTTTACAAAAAGTTTCGTTATTCACTTACTAAGTACATAAATTTCTAAATAAAATAAATAAATTTTTTTAAATTTTAACTAACACTATAAATAAGCAATAATGTATATATAATTTTGTAAATATTAATCATTCTGAACTTACCTCATCCATAATTATTTTCCAGTGCACAACAAAATTCAAAACAAAAAATTAACTAAGAAAGACATGTTCACTTTAAAACTTCAAGTATATATGCGATTGCTGCGCTACGCACGGGATGTTTTAGAAGCAACAGCTTACGACAAGAATTAGCTTATTATAATATACACTACATTGGTCTCCTGTAGTCTATTCTCCATGATTGTAACCGTGCTCGTATAGTCTTTTTCCACTAAACTTATCAACTCACGCTCATCTAGCAACGTTTCCATACGAAATTTCCAGTTACTGAAATTTGTTCCGTCAAAAAGAGGAATCTTATATTTATCTTCTTCCGCCATTGTGTTTAACCTCACAACGCACAAACACTGTCAAGCACAAATATACATATCAATTTCTTTTTGATTTTGTTCACGCAACTGGGCCCATAACC